GCATCATTTCTTGTTTAGAATTGGGACAATTGCACTGACCTCCTCTAAGCATATCAGAGAAAAAGAAGATGCAATGATAAAAAAAAAAAAAAAAGTGTAAGAAAAAGAGAACTTTGAATGAGCTAGTTCATTCTTGTATTTTAACAAAGACAATGTTTTTTAGTTTAGTATCGGATGGCTCTGGACCCCAAAGACCTAACGGAGTAATACCTTATTAATGGGTAGTATGGTGATTTTGCAAACTCTGTTAGCAGAGTTAGGTGATATGTTTTTTATGGAACAAGGAGAGACGAATTAGGGTTTGGATTAAAGAAATTAAAAAGAAATAATGAACAAAACGAATTGGGAATAAGAGAAATAGCAAAACCAAAAGGAAAGAAAGAAATGGAAAGTGATAGTGCTGAAGTGGGGGGCGGGTGCGACAAAATTTTCAACTTATTTCAACTTTCCTTTTTTTGTTTTTTTTTTTTTTGGTTTACAGTTAGACGTTAAGTTTACTGTGCCATTTGTTGATCTTTTTTTCTTGTGCCAAGCCAAACACGGGATTAGGCACTGAACTGCAGGGGACTGCAGGGTTAGGAACAGTAGGGGATTCGCAACGGCGCGAATCCCCTGTTGTTCCTAACCCTGCAATCCCCAGCAGTTCAGTGATGAAAGGCCTTGGTTTGGCCACGTCTGATCCAGTTTATAATATGTACGTGGGCTCCACTAAAATGATGCAAAACACATTATTCCGTTAACATTCGCCTCCGTTAACTTATATTGTAAATTATTACATCAAAAAAAAAAAAACAAATACTCTAAAAATAAAAAGCTAACTAATACAAAAGTTAGCCCTAAACCAAACTAACCAAATAAAACACAAACCTTAAAAAGAAAAGAAAACGAAAAGGAGGCGGCCAAAGAACCCTAAATTCTCTGGGTTTCGAACAAAGAAAGGAAAGTCAAAATTCAGCAGGTTTGTTGGTCGCGATCTTCGCCAGCCTTGGTTTGCTGTGCCGTCAAATTCCTGCGCCGTGATTTTGGGTTTTTCTCTGGCCACGGTTTGCTTCGCTTTTGTTTCGCTTCTGGGTTCTTTTCTGGTGTTGCCAAATTTAGTAGGTTGTAGGTTTTTAGAGTTGATTTGATGTTGATTGCATTGGTAAACATTTTGACATGCATCAAAATATCTTTGCAGATACAATTTTAAATAATTCCATTTTATCTGCATAAAAAAAGTTTTGAAATTGTTGTAAGAGACATGCTTACTTCAAGGTTGTTCAAGTCCATTCCAATTACTTTACAACTATCTAATTCAATCTGTTTGCCTTTTGGTTGTTAGTTTCTCTCACAATTTGTTTACCTTTTGGTTGTTAGTCCCTTCTATTTTAGAGATTTCTGTTATTTGCTCTTCTGTTAATTAAGCTTCAGGCATTTATGCTGAATTTTTAGAATCTATTATATAGGGTTCACTTTTAATCAATAATATGTGTATATTTATATATAGTTCTTATGTTATTTCTGTATGCATCATTTCCTGTTTTGAATTGGGACAATTGCACTGACCTCCTCTAAGCATATCAGAGAAAGAAAAGATGCAATGATAAAAAAAAAAAAAAGTGAAAGAAAAAGAGAACTTTGAATGAGCCAGGTCAATCTTGTATTTTAACAAAGACAATATTTTTTAGTTTAGTGCCGGCTGGCTCTGGACCCCAAAGACCTAACGGAGTAATACCTTATTCATGGGTAGTATGGTGATTTTGCAAGCTCTGTTAGCAAAGTTAGGTGATATGTTTTTTATGGAACAAGGAGATACGAATTAGGGTTTGGATTAAAGAAATTAAAAAGAAATAATGAACAAAACGAAAAGGGAAGAGGAAAATAACAAAACCAAAAGGAAAGAAAGAAAGGGAAAGTGACAGTGCTGAAGTGGGGGGTGGGTGTGCCAAAATTTTCAACTTATTTCAACTTTCCTTTTTGGTATTTATTTTTTTTTTTTGTTTTTTTTTTTTTGGTTTACAGTTGGCACGTTAAGTTTACTGTACCGTTTGTTGACCTTTTTTTTCTTGTGCCAAGCCAAACACGGGATTAGGCTCTGAACTGCAGGGTTAGGAACAGCAGGGGATTCGCGCCCAATGGGGGCGCGACGTTGGGCGCGAATCCCCTGCTGTTCCTAACCCTGCAATCCCCAGCAGTTTAGTGATGAAAGGCCTTGGTTTGGCCACGTATGATCCAGTTTATAATATATATGTGGGCTCCACTAAAATGATGGAAAACACATTATTCTGTTAACATTCACCTCCATTAACTTATATTGTAAATTATTACATTAAAAAAAAAAAAAAAACAAATACTCTAAAAGTAAAAGCTAACCAAATAAAACACAAACCTTAAAAAGAAAAGAAAACGAAAACGAAGTGGCCAAAGAACCCTAAATTCTCTGGGTTTCGAACAAAGAAAGGAAAGTCAAAATTCAGCAGGTTTGTTGGTTGCGATCTTCACCAGCCTTGGTTTGCTGTGCCGTCAAATTCCTGCACCGTGATTCTGGGTTTTTCTCTGGCCACAATTTGCTTCGCTTTTGTTTCGCTTCTTGGTTCTTTTCTGGTGTTGCCGAATTTGGTAGGTTGTAGGTTTTTAGAGTTGAGTTGATGTTGACTGCATTGGTAAACATTTTGACATGCATCAAAATATCTATGCATATACAATTTTAAATAATTTCATTTTATCTGCATAAAAAAGTTTTGAAATTGTTGTAAGAGACATGCTTACTTTAAGGTTGTTCAAATCTATTCTAATTACTTTACAACTATCTAATTCAATTTGTTTGCCTTTTGGTTGTTAGTTTCTCTTACAATCTGTTTGCCTTTTGGTTGTTAGTCCCTTCTATTTTAGAGATTTTTGTTATTTGTTCTTCTGTTAATTAAACTTCAGGCATTTATGTTGAATTTTGAGAATCTATTATATAGGGTTCACTTTCAATCAATAATATGTGTATTTTTATATATAGTTCTTATGTTATTTCTGTATGCATCATTTCCTGTTAAGAATTGGGACAATTGCACTGACCTCCTCTAAGCATATCAGAGAAAGAGAAGATACAATGATAAAAAAAAAAAAAAAAAGTGAAAGAAAAAGAGAACTTTGAATGAACCAGTTCAATCTTGTATTTTAACAAAGACAATATTTTTTAGTTTCGAACCGGCCGGCTCAGGACCAGAAAGACCTAACGGAGTAATACCTTATTCATGGTAGTATGGTGATTTTGCAAGCTCTGTTAGCCGAGTTAAGTGATATGTTTTTTATGGAACAAGGAGAGACGAATTAGGGTTTGGATTAAAAAAATTAAAAAGAAATAATGAACAAAACGAAAAGGGAAGGTGGGAAAAAATAAAACCAAAAGGAAAGAAAGAAAGGGAAAGTGACCGTGCTAAAGCGGGAGGCGTGTGCGCCAAATTTTTCAACTTATTTCAACTTTCCTTTTTGGTATTTTCTTTCTTTTTTTATGTTTTTTTTTTTTTTGGTTTACAGTTGGCACGTTAAGTTTACTGTGCCATTTGTTCACCTTTTTTTCTTGTGCCAAGGCCTTGGTTTGTCCACGTCTGATCCAGTTTATAATATGTACCTGGGCTCCACTAAAATGATGCAAAATACATTATTCCGTTAACATTTGCCTCCGTTAACTTATATTGTAAATTATTACATAAAAAAATAAAATAAATAAATACTCTAAAAATAAAAGCTAACCAATACAAAAGTTAGCCCTAAACCAAACCAACCAAACAAAACATGAACCCTAAAAAGAAAAGAAAACGAAAAAGAGGCAGCCAAAGAAAGGAAAGTCAAAATTCAGCGGGTTTGTTGATCGCGATCTTCGCCGGCCTTGGTTTGCTGTGTCGTCAAATTCCTGCGCCGTGATTCTTGGTTCTTCTCTGGCCACGGTTTGCTTCGCTTTTGCTTCGCTTCTGGGTTCTTCTCTGGTGTTGCCGAATTTGGTAGGTTGTAGGTTTTTGGATTTGAGTTGATGTTGATTGCATTGGTAGACATTTTGACATACATCAAAACACCTTTGCAGATACAATTTTAAATAATTTCACTTTATCTGCATAAAAAAGTTTTGAAATTGTTGTAAGAGACATGCTTACTTTAAGGTTGTTCAAGTCCATTTTAATTACTTTACAACTATCTTATTCAATCTATTTGCCTTTTGGTTGTTAGTTTCTCTTACAATCTGTTTGCCTTTTGGGTTTTAGTCCATTATATTGTAGAGATTTCTGTTATTTGTTCTTCTGTTAATTAAGCTTTAGGCATTTATGCTGAATTTTGAGAATCTATTATATAGGGTTTCACTTTCAATCAATAATATGTGTATATTTATATATAGTTCTTATGTTATTTATGTATGCATCATTTCCTGTTTAGAATTGGGACAATTGCACTGAACTCCTCTAAGCATATCAGAGAAAGATAAGATGCAATGATAAAAAAAAAAAAAAAGTTAAAGAAAAAGAGAACTTTGAATGAGCCAGTTCAATCTTGTATTTTAACAAAGACAATGTTTTTTAGTTTAGTACCGACCGGCTCTGGACCAAAAAGACCTAACGGAGTAATATCTTATTCATGGGTAGTATGGTGATTTTGCAAGCTCGGTTAGCAGAAGGAGAGACAAACTAGGGTTTGGATTAAAGAAATTAAAAATAAATAATGAACCAAATGAAAAGGGAAGGAGGGAAATAACAAAATGAAAAGGGAAGGAGGGAAAGGAAAGTGACAGTGTTAAAGCAAGGCGGGTGCGCCAAATTTTTCAACTTATTTTAACTTTCCTTTTTAGTATTTTTTATTTTATTTTTTTTGATTTACAATTGGCAAGTTTATTGTACCGTTTGACTTTTTTTTTTGTATGAAGCTAAACACGACATTAAGCACTAAACTGTTGGGACTGCAGGGTTAGGAACAGTAGGGATTCGCGCCCAGCACGGGCATTTGGAATTTCGGACCCAATAAGTTCGGCTAACAAAGTAGTGTACTTTACTATTATCTGGTAAGAGCTTAAAATTAAAACCCTTCGTTTCGATGGAAGCGGGAAGTCTTCTCTGCCCAATTCCGTTGAAACCAAAACCCCATCATCTTCATCTTCATGTTCGTCCTCGTCCCTTCTCTTTCCCGCGCTTTATTAGGGCTTCTTCCAACTTAGAGGTATATATTATATACCCTATCTCTGTATCTATCTATTTATCTATATATATATATATAGTTTTCTCTCTCATTTAGCTCCCTTCGATGAATGAAAGGGAGGTTACAGAGGACCAAAGCCGAAGAGGGATTGGGTCGCCGATTGGGTCTCCAAGAACGACGACGCCGTTCGGAGCTTGCCCATCTACGTCGGAGGCTTCTCTCTCCTCGCCGTTCTCTTCAATCGCACCGTTTCGGGCATAGCTCTCGTTTCCGATGCCAGCAGGTAAAATATATCCTTACCTTCCTATCATCAATCACCGTTATTATTTCCCTCAATTTTGCTAGCAAGACGGTCACTTGTTGTGACTGAACTTGGCGTTTATTCAACATTTTAGGTTATCTTGCTTTGCTGTGTACCAATTGACTTGTTGCGAGTACTTAGGTTTTAATCTTCAGCTATTTCGACATCTAGAATTGGTTAAAGGGAATGTGTTGCATATGTCAATGTTAATGCAAATGTGTGTTGAGTAAAAATGTATGAGAATACTTTCTTTTTGGAGTTATGGTTTTGATGGAAATAAGCATTTCCTATGTTTGGTAGGATCGAATCGGTGACTTGGATTTGGAATTGGAAGAAATTTAGTTAAAACTTGTAACTAAATTTCCTCCAATCCCAAATCCAAAGCACTGATTCAGTACTCCCAAACACAACAATAGGGTTTTTAAAGTTGGTGCATTGGTAAGCCTTTTCTGATTGGAGAAAATTTACTTCCAAGTTTTAACTAAATTTCCTTCAATCCCAAATCAAAAGCTTCAATTCAGTTCTCCCAAACACCACAAAAGGGTTTTTAAAGTTGGTGCATTGGCAAGCTTCTTCTTTTGTATATTGCGAATATTGAAGCTCCTGATTGGTCAATGCACCTGACTTTCATTGGAGTAATTTATTTTTGTGTGTGCCTGAGCACATGTTGTGAGGGCATGTACTTTGTGTTACAGATATAGTCTTTGTATGTTTTGCAATATCAGTTGGTGGTAATCAAATTGCGCTTGGGGAGTGGGAAAGCAAATGTTTTGGGAGAAAAAAAAGAGTTGAAAAATGAGAGAGAATAAGTTGGTGACTTCAATGGACTCAAATGCGATGTCAAAGGTTGTATTTTAAGTCTCCCTAGAGAAGATACAAGGATTTAAAATGCAACTTTAACAACCTGCCGTATGAAAATGGCATTGACTGAGAATATTTATAGAACTTCAGAGGTGGAGTGAATCACACACGAAGCGTATGTTGAAGTCAACAGAAGAGTGACTGCAAGTTTGTTTTCCTTGGCAAGAAAACACACCCATTTGCCCCTAAGGGGACTTGAACCTCACCTCTCAGTTTGGGAGGTAGAGGAGATACCACTAGGCTAAGACCTTGGTGGTAGTGACTACAAGTTAAGATAACAATAAAATTCTATTGATGGAAAGAAAAGAAAGTGAGAAAAAATAAATGAGTTCTTTAGTGCAGAAAAATGTGTCACATAGTGTATTAATAGGGATGTAGGCCATCACCATCTAAGGTAGTTTGTTTTGAAAATTAATGTGATCCCAAAATAAATTGCTTCTTAGGTCTTGTTTGTTCCAAAAAGTTTGAGCACTGCACTCTCCATCAGGAGAGGTCTAGTTAATTATATCAGGCCTGCTTGGATCAGGTATCATGGAACTAGGGATGCCCTTTTAAGCTGATCAGATCAATAGAATTGGCATCTGGCCAATGCCATTGACCTTTATCAATGGTAGCTGCAATTTTTGCTTCTCTATTCAAACCATGATCACAAATGACTCCTATCACTTTAAGAAAGAGCAATAGGTGGCCAAAAGTCTAACCAAACTTAGGTGAGACAACCATGGCCGGTTGTATGCTTGATCTGTGATCTGAAGTCTGAACTCTCTATCTTTGGGATTTTTCTCCAAGCCCAAGATCAGGTCCCTAAGGTCTTTAAATTCCTAAACATCTTTTTCCTTTTATAAGAGAGGATTTAACCTAGGAAACCTATATGGATTGATTACTTTTGCAGTCTATGACTCTATCATGCTTTATATCAATTTTCTCGATGAGCTACTTAGTTATCTTGAGAAGTTAAAATTGCCATTAATTTGCTTTATTCACTCATGCTTACATTCATATGTAACCTTTTTATCTAGCAGTTCACAGTCTAGAGCAGATTTGCTGACACTTGGTTTGGCTGTCACCAATATACTAGCCGGTCTTGTGTGGCTATCAATCCGACCAAAATCTATATCGGTGGTGAGGGCTCCATTTTTTAAAATCAAATCCATCTCTCTCTCACACACACACATGCCTGCGCAATTGATTTAGTAGATTTATTCTCCATCACTTCAGTTTCAGAGAACATTTTATTTCATTTGTAATCTTGATTTCAGGTAAGTCCTCAAGGTGTGGAATGTCAAAGGATAAATTCTCACCTTCCTGATGTTGTTGTATCTGAGTTGCAGTGGTACTCCTTATATAACTTGCCTATAGTACTTCGGGGATTTTTTTTTTTATCTATTAATCTGCTTCATTCGTCTTATTTGAGCAGTGGTCAATTGTGTGTTTATTAGTTGTAGAGAAGTTTCCCATAATAATATTAATGCTTTTCTATATTAAATTAGAAATATTGCTTCTCAACTAAACTATACAAAGTTGGCATAGTTTTGAATTATGAGGTACAATAAGTTTTCTACCTTAGAAGGCCAAGTACGTTGGATTGCCAACTTTATGGTTGAACTTTTTGTTGGTATTTTTCCTTACTCTTGTTCTTTAGTTTCTGCCTAGGATTTTGGCCAATTTTTATTTTCATAATGGAATAAGATTAAAGTATAAATACGGCTGAACTTATATCTAAAGTTCCCATTTTCACCTTAAAAGTTTTCAGCTGTATTTATTTGCAGTCCAATTATGTGTTCTCTGAAATATGTACCAATTGTAACCAGCTGTTGATTAACAAGTTCAGTAGCTATTAGTTTTGGTGGTCTGGCTAGGCTGCTTTCTGAAAGATTTTCTTTCCTATATCAGGTTATGGGAATCTCTGTCCGACGTGACATGCTGCAGGTCTCTAGTTGTTGTCTATGATAGCAAATGTATCCTCCAGATTGGGTTTGCTGCTGCATCTTCTGCCAATGAAGGTGAAGCAGAAGCTATAGATGCCAATAAATTGATGCAAGGATCACTCTACCAAGGTGTTATTAAATCTGGATCACGTAAGTCATATGCAATTAATTGAGTATAATTTGTCAGATTTTGCAGATGGTTTTTACAAGATGCTCACTGAAGAGAGAATCTTTGCAAGCTGACAATCTATTCCTATTTACTTTTTCCAGAAAGCTACTTGGCCAATCTCTCTCTTTATCCTGGGAAATCTGAGCTGCCATTTTTGCCTTCAAATACACAGGTACTCGCCCATTGTTTTTCTCAGATGAGTTTAGTTGAAATGCTTTGCTCATTGGTTAATATACTTGGTTCGTAATAGGAGTAGAAATCAAATCTTACATGTCATTTTCAACTTCATATGAAAATAATCTTCATTTAAGGGAGTTTAATCAAGAATAGAAAACTTAATTTTTCACATACTTATTGATGATAATTAGACAAATTTTTTTATTTTATTTTTCAAAAAAGATATATATTAAAGGCATCAATTTAGACTAAAAAAATGTCAAGTTTGTTCTATTGTGATCGTGTGATTCATGACCTTTTTCTTTTCCCGATTAGGAGGTTTAAAATAACTTAAAGCAACTTTTATTATTAATCTATTATTATTAGATTCTGGAAAAAGTTGAGCAGTTCACTTTCAATGATCTTAAATTCATAAAGTGTGAGTTGTAGGTTCTTCAAATCGGATACTCTCAAGAAGCCTTAATTAGTTAATGACTTGGGGTCAGTGACAGGACTCACTGAAACTCTTTCCACTTATTCTGGATTGTTTTTGCTATTGCTGGAAATACGAAATTTTATTTCAGCTGATCCAATGCAATACAATCGACCTTTTTTTTTGAATTTGAACGAAATACCACTTGAGGTAAAATTTCCCTGGCTAAGTATTGATGTAAATGATGCTTTCTGAATTTCATGATGTTGCTGTGGGACTTTGTTGAATTATCTATTCACGTTTGTGACACAATTTTTGTGAGGTTCTGTGATTAGTTTTTCCAATGGAAATTGGGGAAGTAGACTTCCTCCATTCCAAGGGAGGAGGGAAAATGTAGTTGGATTTGGTGTGCTACCTTCGCCATTAATACATCATTTCCTATAATTAGGACATTTATTTTAGGGTTACTGCTATCCATGGGGTGTTCTGATATATATGATATTTATTTGTGTGAACTTTGAGAACTCTTGTTAACCATAGCACTGACCACTAACTTGTGTTTGGATGTTTATATAAATGTATCCATTCCAGTGTATTTTACATGGAGTTTGAAAGTGGCCTCACTTTTCCCTACAATATTGTTGAAACTAAGATGGAAAGTTTTGCTTTTATGTGAAGTTTGAAATTTCCCGTTCCAGAGCACATAATTCATGAAATATATAATTGTAGGCCTACATATCAGTATTGTTTCTTTGATAAATGATTTCTATTATATCGTGCATTTGTAATTCTCACTTTTGTTGCCTGTGGGTGTAAATATTCTGATAAATGCATGGAAATTCAAGCTTAATCAACGGATTGCTTACAGAAATTTTAATTCTTTAGGCAGTCATCTTGCAACCACTTGGAGACAAAGGAATTGCAATAATTGGAGGTGACACAATTAGGGGCTTCACATCTTCAGACCAGGTGCCTTCTTAGATTTCAAAATGAGAGCCATGTGCTCCAGTTAATTTAGATCATTCTGATGCCCTAAATATTTAGTTAAAATCAAATTGACTAGATTCTTCAAGCTTACTTTCTTTGTCTGTCATCAACTAACAGTTATTTTCTCAAAAATCTACATTTATTGGTTCAAGAATTTTTCTTTACTTACGAGCAGTTGGTTAACCATAAGACAATCAATCAAGTTCATGTTTAGTTCAGATGTTCTTTTTGGCCTTTTTAATTTTATGACCCTTATCTTTTTAATTCCATTTTTCTTTCATTTGCAGGCATGGATTACATTAATAGGAGAGAAGTTGGATGCTACACTTACAAAGTTCGTGGATAGCCTGCAACTGGCAATGCAAGATAGAGGTTGACATTAGTTGAACTTCGAAATGTATTGCTTATGTCGGCATACTGTTCCTCAAAGTATTTTAAGGTACTTTATTTTTTTATTTTCATTTGCTCTCTCCCCGTCTCTCTGTCAAATCATTACTGTCAGCATTTGTAATTGATGTCAATGCTTGTACTTCATAGAAAACACAATTAATACTGTAGTCAAGATTTTGAGTAGAATTGTTCCGATATTGAACCAAAGTTCACATAAATAACATATACTGTCGATAAGAAGATGTTTGTAGCCCTGTAGTTTAGAGAGAGAATATTAAACAGTAAGTTTGAATTGTCTCTATTTGGGGTGACACGCAAATTTTGCTCCATCAATTTACAGATGAAATTAAATTGAATTTATTTCAATCTTTCTTGCCCTATTTAAGAAACCTTCAATGTGCAATAAGTCATCTCATCTGGAATGACTGCTATATTTCACCAGTAAGAAATGATATTTTAATTCTTGCGACCATATCCCAAATATATATGGGGTCACCTGCATGAATCCCTTTCCATAACCTTGTACTTGGAGTATGGGATTTTAAATTTGATATGTTTTGCCTTTCAACTCCTGCACTTGGTCCAAAATATTTGGGTTCTCCATCAGGAAAAGGGAGAACCATTCAATTGGCATCCCAAGTCCCCAATATATATGGGGTCACCTGCATGTCTGCACGGGATGCTATAAGCGGAAATTGGCTAGAACCCCGCATAAAGCTTTGAATTACATCAAGGGAAGCAATCTTTTATCTTTCATCTAGTGTTCTCTTTCTTAGATGTTCTTTAATTGCAATTTGGAACTGTCATTGATGTAAATTTATTTTATATGTTTGATCTTCCATTTTTTTTCTTCCTGATTTAATATTATATTCTTGGATTATTATCCTTGTTTATTCTGTGCATTCAAGAATACAGCTAAAGCTTGTTCTTTTTCTTTTTTTGGTTCCGTCACTTTTAGATCCGTCTGGTGGTATGCAGATAACTGAGAGCAAAGAATTTCAATATCACATCCAGTTCCAGGCATTTTTGCTGCAAGTCTGTAACAGTTGATCTTAGATTTTGTTCTTGAACCTTGACTGTAAATTGTTACATTCATGTTTTCCCTTTTTCTTTTTTTTTTTCGGTTTGATTTTATGAGGTATATTAGGGCAATTGGCTACCTACACCAGAATTTTTAAATGATAATTCAGAATTCTGTACAAATTTCGTACTGACATGGAAATTGTTGGTTTTAAGTGTAATTCATCCACAACCAAGCCACTTAGAAGTTGATTTTGATGGTACAGTTTTGCATAATGGATTGGATCTGACTTCTCATAATGATTCCACACATTGTTTCAGCACTTTGAATAGGTTGTTAAATTTCTTGTTTTGTCTACCAGTTTGTTATTTTCCTAAATAAGGTATTTTGTTATATAGGTCATTCCGATCCATTTACACGGGTCAAGCATTTGTGACGAGAATACGACCCGTATAACTAAAGTCATCTTCTTTACAACTTTGAAGTTTGAACATAACAAGAACCGAAAAAAAAACAATAAATGAATCAGTAAGCATAAAAAAAGAAAACATGGTATCACAAAATTACAAGTATCTAAGATCCCTATAACTCAGCTTATGGCTTGTTCTTCGTGTTACATGTCTGCAAAAGCTGGAAAAAAAAAATCAGAAACAAAATAGTGAAACAATCAAAGAAAGAATGGCTTTAGTGTGATTCATTTGTTATACATTGGGTGAGGGTAGCTTCAAGCACCCACAAAGTTTGATTTGTTACTGAAGAAAAGACCTCTCCCAGGGCAGCAAACCAGTTCCAGGATCAGCCAAATTGGCCAACACGAAGTCCCTCAAGCCGGTGTCCCAGACCTCGCAGAACTGTAGGTGCCAATTGGGTGGTTCAATGGCCTCCGTCCCCAATCCAGGCGCCCTATCTCTCGAACCCTCATTTTGATTCTCTTGCCAGTCAGCGACGTAGGTAGCTACCCTTCTGAAGAACTTTGCCCTAAAAGCCTCCCACACTTGGTACTTGTAGTGGTTCAACACTGCTGTGCCCTGTGGCAAATTCAAGTACTTGAATCCCTTCCTCAGGTGAAAATGGTGCACCACATTGAGTAGGGTAACGTCGAGTGCCTCTGGCCGGACGATGGATTTGTGCCTTTCCGGGCTCTGGAGCCGGCAAGTGTACCCCACTGTGACTCCCTGTGGAGGAGGGGAGCTCAGCCCGGAAGGCCCAAAGCTGTGGCAAGCTGTTCTGATCTCTGCAATGGTTGATGATGAGAAGTTTTCAACCAGGGACCGGAGTGAATTCTGTCCCGGAAATCCCAGTTTCTTGAATTTTTGGCGACGGGGAGTTGGGAATGGGAAGTAGAAGAATTCATCAACATCCATGAACCCAACCCAATTGCATTCATCTCTTGCTCTGAGAGCACAATGCGAGAAACCGGCTTCTTGAGTCTTGATCCATGGCCAGACATGCCTGGTGACATTGTAATCCTCTAGCTCAAGCTCTTCAATCACCTCCTTGATATTATCATCACTGTTGTTGTCGTAGATGAACCACCTCTCAACCCCAAGCCAAGCATGGTAGGTTATCCATTCGCGAAGCGAAGAAGCTTGGTTCCACACCATTGTACACACACACAGCTCATATTTCCCCCCTTTACTCTTCTTCTCTTCTCCCTCGGACTTGAAACTCGAAATCCTAGCCACAGAGGGCACAAGAACATGGTCATGAGCTCCGGCATGGACATGGGGGGTCACTCCAATGGTCACCCGGATCCCCCGAGCCTTGCTAGGGTTCTTCTGAATGCTCCGTGGCAACAAGCACCTCACCACCTCCTGAGCTGCCGTAATCGCCTCCGTGGTGAGCACCAATCTTCCATCTCTCTCCCAATTCCCCAATCCAAAATGGCAACTGAATTGGGCAGCATCGGATGCCCTATCTGGCCTAAGATTCAATCCCTTCACAAACACCACCACAGAGTCCCTATCCAAACTCGCAGCATACACCAAATTCTCCCAAGAATAAACCCTCTGATTACTACTCCTCAACCGTCCATCACCGCCACCGCGACCACCGCCGTCCAAATCCACCAAATCCCCCTTTCGCCACCGCAGACTAATCGCGCCGGAATAATTCGCCGGCGGAAGTGGACACCGCACAATCGATCTGAGACCGTCGTACTCATCCACTGACAACACATCCCTAACAATCTCATCATTATCAACAACACCACTACTATCACTACCAGTATAATTATTGTTGAATGAAATTGAAGTTGCAGTTTCGCAGTAAACACATTCCAATTCCTGACTCTTGTTGTTAATCAATCCATTCCGATTCGACACCATCAACAACACGTGATCAGGAAACATGACTCCATCATCTACTCTGTAATTCGATGACGACGACATACTACTACTAGAACTACCATCACTATCATGATAATCTTGAATTGAATTGCTTGATGAGGACCTGAGTGATAGGCTCGAAACTACCAACACGGGTTTGAACGCCGACGAAGAGATGATCGGAATTCGATCCGATAAGAAGTAAAGAAAAGAGACAAAGCCTAAGCACAAGATGAGAGATCTTACTGAGAAGTAGTGTCGAGCAGAGTAGAGAGCTCTGCGTTTTCGCTTGCGTCGTTGCTCTGAATCCATTGTTATTTTGGGGACGCTGGTTCGTTGAACTGTCTCTCTCTCTCTCCCTTTCTGATGCGTAGATCTGGAGATTTTGCCGACAGTGGTTTCTACTCTTCAGGCTTCTTTTAGGTTCTTCTGGTAATCCAGTTTGTGTCGGAGTGAGAGAGAGAGAGAGAGAGAGAGAATTTTAGAGAGAGAAAGTGTAACAAATACACATATATGTGTATATCTCTATACAGAGAGAGAAGGAGACGCGTTTGTCCATTGTTGTGCTGTATTGGGCTGTTTTTATTAGATGGCTCAATCAATCCACTTCTTCCATTTGTTGCAGTGAGGAATAATTTTTCTTCCCATTACATGGAGTGAATATATATATATATATATATATATATATATATATAGTGGGAAGAAAATCCCCACTTGTAAACAGTATTACATCTTGTTTTGTTTAGTTTGAAATATTTAATACATTTTTCAATTTTTTCATAAGATACATTTTGAATCAGACAAAACATGTCATGTTGTTCAACCAGAGATTCAGGTTCATATATGGTAACTTTTTATTAAAAAAAATTGTATTAAATTATTTATTTAACTTTTTATATATTTTAAAAAAAAATTCCCGTAATTCATAGATTTGCTCTCTTAAGAGCATTACTCTTTTCTAAACAAACAATTACAGTAATTACTAAATAAAATTTTTGGAGGTACTCTAAGGGAATTCAAAACTCCAACCCACGAGTCTTAAGAATCTTTATCATTAATGCTTGGAAGAGAGATTGAAGGAAAGAAAAAAAAAAAGAACAAATTTTATTTATGTTTTAGAGATAATACAAAGAAAGAAAGGATAATAGAATGATAAGTATTTCATAAAGTAAATGATTAGTTTAATAGTAAAAACAAAGTAAAAATTTCTCTTTTTTATTTTTAGTAAATTGATATTTGATGCACGCTCGTAGTCGCGCGTGTGGAGTCAAAAAAGTGAAAAGGACCTTTAGACGTGTAGGTGGGTAAACTATAGTGCTATAAATACAGGTGTGATGTGTATAATATATATATATATTGCTTATTATATGGAAAAGTGGTGTCTTTTTGCTTTTATTATGCGTTGGAATGTTATTCTCACGCGCTCTGAGTAGGATATGATTCTTGCTTGTATTAACGTCTATTTTATTATTTAATTAATATTATTTTTTTAGTAGGTGAATTTTGGAATCTTATCTTTGGATCTTGTGGTCTCATTTAATTATTATTATTCTTATTATTATTATTTTTGACTGTGACCACTCTTGCTAACGAAGCTAAGAAGTTGTTTATGTGTAACTTTCAAAGTACGAGTTTTGTTATCAACTAATTGCTCACCTAAGTCCCAAGAATTAATAAATAATTAAATGAAAAAAAAGTTTGAAATCTGTCACTCACTTGATTACATTTACAAGTTGGGTATGATTTATATCCATACACGTTCTTGACATTTTTCCCAAAACTCCAAAGGGTCAAAGTCAAAGACGGTGGGCCTAAATTATAATTTATTGTACAAAAATATATAATTCGAACATATTTTTACTTTCACTTTCATGAGTTTGAAATAAGAAATCGTCTTTTGAATGCGAAAGTCAGGTTGTGCAAATTGGGTACCAAATCTGCACCCAAAGTGAGACCTTTGTTCTCGAATAAATAAAACATGTCTAGCAATCAATGTCTAATTGAGACATACATTATCTAATTTGCCATAGTAAATGTGATTTCTTCATATTGTGCAACATTTATTAAGAATTTGGGAAAAAAAATAAAAATAAAACAAGAAGGTTAAATTACACTGACCTCCCATATGATTTGTCATAATTATAGAGATTTTTCATGTAGTTTAGAAATTTACTCGGACTTCCCTTAAAAATGAAAATATTTTACACGAATCTATAGATATTTTCATTTTTAAGGAAGGTTCGAATAAATTCTCAAATCACAAGAGAGGTCCCTCTAATTAAGACAAACCATAGAGAGATTCGTATACTTTACCTAATTATTGCAAGTGTGACTAAAGGCATCTGATTGTTGAAATGTCAAAGACGTACACACCAATATGGTTGCATGGGACTACTCTAAGATGTCTTCGATAGTTGATATATTATTGAGTGGAAACAGTGTTCGATCACCATAAATAAGGTCTTGGACTCTTGGCCACTAGGCGCTCGTTGCGTACACTTTAATTCTTTTCAAATTTCGAATGCTTCGTGTGTTGAACTAGTCCTGATCTAATTAAACTTTAAAGAATTTTCTAAAATCATCTTACTTACCAAAAAGAGAGACGGAATGAATGGCCTTCTCGAATGCATTTAATTTTTAGAACATTTATGTTTTATTGGAAGCACTTATTCAAAGCATTAGACTAAAATTTATTATTAATTACTAACAAAGTTTGGTATTGACCGTTTAGGAGGAGAATTTAGTAGTTTGCATTATTGTAGATTAAATTCCTGAACTATTGGTCCATATAGGATATTTTTATTTTTAAGGGAGGTCCGAATAAATTTTCAAATCATAAAAAAGTCTCTATAACTATAACAAACCATAGAAGAGGTCCGTGTAATTTAACCGATTGTTGCAAGTGTGACTAAGGGCATCTGATTGTCGAAATGTCAAGACGGACACACCAATATGGTCGCATGGGACTACCCTTAAGATGTCTTCAGTAGCTGATATATTATTGAGTGGAAAGAGTGTTCAATCATCATAGATAGGGTCTTGGACTCTTGGCCACTAGGCGCTCATTGCGTACACTAAATTCTTTTCAAATTACGAATGTTTCATGCGTTGAACTAGTCATGGTGTAATTAAACTTGATGAATTTTCTAAAAATATCATACTTACCAAAAGGAAACTGAATGAATTGCTTCTCAAATGCTTTTAATTTTAGAACATTTAAGTTTTGTTGGTAGCATTTATTCAAAGGATTGGACTAAAATTGATTACTAATAACTAACAAAGTTTGGTATTATCCGTTTTGGAGGAGAATTTGGTAGTTTGCATTATTGTAGATTAGGTAGGAAGTTGACGAATTTGTGGCCTAAGACTTGAATGATTGGGTGGATTTTATAGTGAGAGTACATTAGCTGGCAAAAGAGATAGCTGAAATGGTCCAAAATTTCTTATCTTATCAACACAACCCTTCTAACACACGCATCAAGTTGAAGCTGTCTAATTGTTCATAAATCATAATACACGCACACAAACACACACACATAGAGGTTCGATCGTGCAGGAACATGCCAGAGGGGTTGTAAACGTAAGCTTTTTTGTTGTGGAAATAGTCCACGGACACACACAGACACACACACAAATATTCTGTTTTTCTATGTGTTTTCACAACAATCGCTTTTGATTCGTCCAATAGCAGCATGGAATGTACCTATAATTGTTGCTTTTTATTAGAGCATGTTCTAATGAAAAGAGAGACTTTAAATGTATTATATTTTGTTTTGAAATTAGGGTCTGAATCTTTTTTAGGTAAATTACCTCACCCTTTTTAGGTGAGGTTCGGACTCGAATCCTCCCCTCCTCTTAAAGAATGGGGAGATTATACCTCTTGCAAATTGTGACCCCGAGTTTTAGTCTTTGTTGTGATAGTGTAATTGTTTCGCACTCCCATCAAAAAACTTAAGTTGTTAGATGTGTCTAATACCAAACCATTTTATACCCATTATATTTTTTATTCGAGTCCGATGTGGGACAAGTATCCCTTGTAACATTCTCTTCTATCCGAAATCGCAACACTCTGCCTACTTGAATTGTTGACTCGAACCTCTCTGAGTCAGGCTCTTGGCGTCATACCGAGTTAAGAAATGACCATGGCTCTTATACCAATTGTAATGGGTCGGATGCTTTGCAATTCGACCCAAAAACTTAAGTTGTTAAATTAGGCTAACACCCAACTCATTTATACCCTTTACATTTTTCATCCAGATATGAGGTTGGACAAAACCCCTATGTAACACATTGTATGTAAATTAGGGTTTGTAGTGTGATAATGAGAGAATATCCAAAGCCATTTTACAAAATGAGAGGGAGACAAAAGATTGGACTTAGGGTATACGCCAAACTAAGTAAATTTTTGTGTATTGTGTGGTGCAAAGTTTGATTTTTTTATTACCCTGTATTGTGTTGGTTGTGATCTTGGCTTCGAAATATTTGTCATACATTTATAATAGTTTTCACACCATTCTGTTCTTAATTACGCAGGAAGAATAGAGTAGAGAAATTTTTTTTAGGATTTGCTTAGTTTGTGTTTAGAAAACAATTCGAAAACAAAATTATTTTTGGAGAATTGTATTTTAAAAAAAAAAAAAAAAATTGAAACAGTTTCCGGAAATTATCAATCAAGCAGGTTTTATACAATCTATTTATTAATATTTCTTTTTTTAAAAAAAAACAGAAAATTGTTACTAAAAAAAACTGAATAAAAAAGGCCCTTAATTCTATTAAAATCAATTAAGATCACCTAATTTTCAGATATTTTCTCTTCTAATGTCTCTATTTAAAATGATGGATATATTTAAAAATGTGTATCTTCTATTCTCTTTCCTCACAGGCTCAAACCAACCAAAGGCATCATGGAAGAATTATTTAACAAATAAAAAGAATAAAAAAATCATATAGAGAAATTCCTTGAGTGGCTCAATAATGGAAGACATCATTTTATTTATTATTATAATTTTTTTAAAAAGAAGTTATTATTACGATCAATTCAACGCTGATTCAACGGTAGGAGAGAATCTCGAAAACCCATCTCGGGGAGGTGTCTCCAGCTGAGCCTAGCTTAATTATACGGTTTTACTAATTAATTAAGAATCACTTTTTTATTTATAAAATTTTAATATAAAAAAAAGCTTCAATTATACCTTACAACCTCTCATGTTCGTTAGATATCCCATCAAGTTAAATTATGTTTGGGATCATAAGATTAGTGGCTTGGAATTGAAATGGGAATTTTTTTTTTTTTTAATTCAAACCTTAAAATAAATTTGTTTAAGTTTAATGTGTGCTTGAAACAATTGATGCGAAATTCTAAACAGGAATATATGTTCACTTAATAACAATACACTAATTCAACATTTTATCCACATTTACATGTGGGATAGTTCTATTTTTTAATTGGACCAGGGCTAAATGACCTTAAGGGAGGTTCACCCTTTTTAATCCATGAAATTTATCAAAAGCTACGTGTCTTCATTACGTATTTTACTAAAAACTGATATGATTCATTTTTATAAGATAGATATACAATTGACTTCATTTATGCACTCAATATATTTTCTCCCATGTCCTAGAGGTACTTTATC